TAAGGTTTTAGTTTGCTTATTTTTGATCCTTTTTGTGCAGATTATTTTTATTTATAGTAATTAGTTTGCTTATTTTTTTTTTTTCTGCAGATCTTTCTAAATTTAGTAATTTTTGTAAAACCTTATCTCTCCATATATATTTCGGAGTCCTGTTGTAGCTCTAGTTATTATTGTATATAAGTGATACCAAGGGAAAAGAGCTTAATAAATTTTTAATATAAACTTTGATTAATAATATCTTGATATTTATTGTATCAAATTAAATAATTTTTTTTTATTTGAATTTTACAAATTTGTAGAATTTAAATAAAAAAATTTTTACCAAATTTAATACAACAATTATCAAGATATTATTGATCAAAGTTTATATTAAAAACTTAAGCTCTTTTTTTTTGGCAGCACTCATATACTATTTAATCAAATTTGCTAAAAAATTTTTTATTTTAATTTTGAAATATATTGAATTAAAATAAAAAAATTATATTAAATTTGATAAAATAATGAGCTATTTTCATGATTTTGATTAGTTAAAGATAACAGATTACTATTTAATCTTGTAATATATTTGGCTTTAGATAGCCTCATGTAATTTTTTTTATATTATCTTCATTTTTTATTATACAAATCAACTTTTATTTATAATTGAAAAATATCAATTATGTTAAAATTTACATAGATCTAATAAAAACTTATTTTTTCAAAAATTGCAAAATGGGCCTTTTAATATAAGGCACTTTAGGGTTTAAAGTCTGTAATCTAGTGGTCTAGATGTCTAAATTCACATGGCAGGTCGATGGTTCAATTATAGCTGGAGGTTTTTCTTTGGATTTTGCTCTGTAATTATTGAAGCCAGAAAATTGGATGTAAAGTCCCGTGGAAAAGTCCAAATAAAGTAAAAAACCAGATTAAGAAATTCCTAAAAAGAAAACCCAAATCATAGAGTAGATGGTATTATTAACAATGAGATATAGTAAGGGGCTGTAGATAAAGGATAAGCCTTCTGAAAATTAAACACCTCTGGTATATATACTTGAAGTTAAAAATAGAAAATCTGTATAAAGTAATGATGCCAACTGACTATGAGGTGTGGTAAAAATTTGAAATAGCATGAAGCACCAGGCTGGTAGTAGTAATATGAAACAAGAGCAAAGCTGAAAAGCAGGAGTCTACCAATTCTAAAAAACTAGCCAATAGAAAAGCTGGAAGTAAAAATACGAAACCTCAATTGGGAGTAACTACAGTTATACAATATAGCTCCAACCTTGACCAACACATGGGAGCTCCACAAATAGAAAGAAGACTGCATGTAGAAAAAACCAGAAACATCAAAGTGATTACCAAACTAGAAAGTATATCGAGTAAAGATACGTATGAATGTCTCAAAGGAATTATAAGCCAAGTTACCTGTCTGGGAGTTAATGGTTCCTGTATGAGAAAAGTGGTGGATATACAGATTAAATATAGAGGTTGAAAAGCATATAGTCTAAAAAATCCTAAATTATAGTAGTACTGATAGGGGTATCAACAAAAATTACAAAGTAGACATTAGGTATTGGAGTAAAGTAGCCTTATAGTTCCAGTAAATATTGTGATTCATATGTAATGAATTATATAATTAATTGTATATGTGTAAAAACATAATAATACTACATGAATGCTAAATTCGAACTGGAGCCCGAGATTGGAGAACTGAGTGACTAAGTCCTTTAATAGAGGGACACTAGCTGAACTGCCGGTTTAGATGCACCGGAGAAAAAGGCTATATGCTCCGAAAGTTTGGACCAAGAGGAGGGCATCTTTTAGATACCTAAAGCCTGGGCAGACCAACCCATCCAGGTTGTTGGCTAGAAGTAAGGGAGAGACCAATAGAGAATCTGGGTAAGAAGATGGTTGAAGTGCAAGTATTGGGGTTGTTGTGAACCAATACAAGGGCAAGAGTACATAATGGAAAACTAATTAGAAAAGTTGTGCTTGAGATACGAATTATGTTACAGCAGCACCCCAAAAGGTGGCATCTTTTAGATACCTAAAGCCTGGGCAGACCAACCCATCCAGGTTGTTGGCTAGAAGT